AACCAAACTAGAGGAACTCGTTTGGGGATACCACCCAACCCGACAGTCAATATCCTACTGTTCGGTTTTCTAGATTTGTACCTTAAGCAAAGGCTAGTTTAAGAGTTGGTAAATCAATCGGAATATATGTACCTTAAACTAATGACCTAGCTTAAGAGTTGGTTAGAAGTACCTTAAACTCTAATAAGTTTAAGAGTTGGATAAAAGTACATTAAAACTAGAATTAGTTTAAGAGTTGAATATAAGTACCTTGAACTAGAACTAGTTTAAGAGTTGGTAAACATCAAATAAATTGGCCTTAGACTAAGAATAGTTTAAGGATATTATTGAATGAGGATGTTGAATGTTGAATATGAATATTGAATGACGAATGTTGAATATTGATTATTGTATATTTGAACTGAATACTCTGTGCATGATATCAAATGATTTGATTATGAATTTGGATTCAATTTATATGGATGTTCGATGCATTAGATATGCTTACTCAGCTTCACCGCTGAGCGTGTAGTATGTTTTATTTGCTACACGCAGGTTAATAGAAAGAATGATGTGACATGATTCTGGAGGCAGATGGAGGCGAGATTGTCGGAATGGATGTGATGGTTTTGAATTAAAGAACATAAATAAATTATGTTTGTAATTATGATTTGTTAAGCTTCCGCAATATTGAAAACTCTGCACTGTATATGTTATGAAAAAATATTATCGTGATAAATAAAAGTGTTTGAAAAGTTTTAAATTTTACGATTACCAAGTTAATACTTTAGTCTGAAAGGGGCTGCAGACCTGGATGGATTAGGGTGTTAAACAACCTATGTGAAATTGAATATAAAATTGATTAAAAGTTTCAAACTCACGCAAAGATAAAAGAATTAGTACCAATTTTACAAAATAATTCCCAAAAAAGTAAATTTTTAGTTTTAAAATTGAATTTAACTACTTATGTAAAATTAAATATCAAATTGAATTCAAACTTACCCAAGGGGACGGAGGCATCCGAGCGATGAAAAATAAAAATTGTGGAGAGAGGTGGAATGGGATTGTGTGTATGAGAAAAAAGAAGATGATAGAGAGTGCGGTGGAATCATTACCGCATAGAGGATATGGTAGCAGCGGAGAAAGGATTGGGATTAAGTTGACAGTGTCAGCAACTGAGATTAAAACGAAGGAGATCGTAGAAAGATGGGATTGGGAAGGGGCTGGGTGACTTTTTTGACCGCATAGGGCTGGGATGTGGGGTGGTTAGTGCGGAAGAGTAAATCAAAACAAAATTTAATTAATTACTCCTAATTAGAGGAGTTTAAGTTTGAACTCCTATTTTCATGATATGATATATGTTTTACTCCTATTTAGAGAGTTTTCTTTTTTATAAAGAGTAAGTCTAAAATGACACTAGTGTCACTGGTGTCATTTGCTTACATCAATTCGTTTGGAGTATCTACGGTGCACTGTTTGTAAAAATGATAGTTCTTACCTCCTTTAACCCTCCCCCTAAACCCCCCCCACCTCAGTCCCACCCTTACCCCTACTCCAGCCCCCCCTCCCACCCCGTGCCAGGGTAGGGAGGGGGATGGGAGGGGGGCTGGGGTGGAGGGTTTAGGAGGAGGGTTAGGGGGTAGTAACCGTCATTTTTATAAACAGGGCACCGTAGGTACCCCAAATGAATTGGTGTAAGCAACTCTGTATAAATTAAATATTTGAAACTAATTGAATTTCTGGATCCGAACAAAAATATTCGAATCCGTTTAAAAATCCAAATGCTTATAAATAGATTAAAAGCACTGTAAAACTGAAAATGGAAATGCATAATACCGAAAAACATTAGAATCATAAAACAATAGTAAATATTTCACCAAAAATCTAATGATGCAAACAAAAATATAAATTTGTAGTCGACCAAGTACTAATTGTCTTTAATACATCTCTAAATCAGTTCAAGAAGATAATATTTAATGGATCCTAAAATTGCATTCCATTTCACTTCGTTCATTTTTCTGAAGCCAAGATAAACAATTGTAACACCTTAATCCATCCAGGTTTGCAGCCTCTTTCGGACTAAAGTATAAACTTGGTATTTGTAAAAATTCAAAACATATCAAACATTTAAAACTTTATTTCATAATAAATCATTCAAGATAATAACGGAGTAATTTAATATTACGGAAGCTTAATTAAACACAATACAAACATAATTAATTCATGTCTTTAAAAACAGTAATTCCAATTCACACATCCATCCCGATCATCTCATCCCATCCACTACAAGAATTTCAGGTTTTTGCGACGAAAAACTTCCGTCGCAAATGGCTTCTATTGTCTCGCAATTAGGCTTTACGACGGAATTTGCGACCACTTTCAATCTGTCGTAGTATTTTGGATACATTAGAGGCAACATACATTTGGCGCCATGTTCATCTCATCAATTTCGTCTTTAACCGTCACTCTGTTTTTACCGTTGAGGTAAAATTCTTGTCATAGCTTGTAATTTGTGTAAGTTGTTCTTTGGTGGAATCAAGATTGGGACCCTAAAATTCTTTCTATAGGTTGTAATTTACGTAAGTTGTTTTTGGGTAAAATCGAGATTGGGACTCTAAACTTTAATATCCACTACGTAATTTAAGCCTCGTTTCCCAACAGATTTTATTTCATTATTTTAAATAATATATTTATTAATTTTTTAAGCAATATGTTGTTTTGGATGTTGTTACCTAGAGCTTTCGCAACGTTGAATTTATTTTACTCCGACTTATATATGATTAGTTTTTAAATAAATATGAATACATATTTTATTTTTTAAAATATTGTGCATGTGAATACCAAATTAGTAGCAACCCGATTCACTATAGCTCGTTGGTTCGGGATACACGAGTTTGGATGTTACACTACGTGTAAAACTAAAGAGCATAGAATTTGATAAAGGGAAGAGGAAGATTTCCATTAATAAGGATAAGTTAAGATATAAAGGAAAAAGAAGTATTGACTATGGCTACACCGCCCGTGTTTTCTTTGCTTATTACATTTAACCTTAACAAGCTACATTTAATTTATGAGTTAACATGCTTAGAGAAATCCCCACGATGTTGCAAGGAAAAGGAGGGAGATGTCTGTCACCCTAGAAAAGGACTGTGGTAGGAGTGACATGGCCATCAGCTTGGACCAAAGGGTGCAACCACCATCGCAGCTTATAGTATGTGTGTCATCGTGTCGCGGGGAGGCAGATTGTTATCCCATGCACATGTCCACTCCGTCGGCATGCACGAAAATTAGTAACCCATGCACAGGTCCATTGGATATGCTACTATCCAAATGAGGGAGGCTGCTCGAGGACTAATGCCAGAGAGTATTACTTGTCCTCCAGTGCTGAAAGGCTTAGATGAGTCTTTGCCATGTACTGTCCTAAGCACAATATGAAGCTGGAAAACTGAGATGAGTCTTATAGGGTGCGGAATCCACCAATGAGTCCAACCCAGAAAGGAGGGTGATTCCCGCTAAAGAAGGAGA